GAACAGTTAGTTATGGATGGCTTGGAGAGTGGCGACGCTTCTGTTAAGCGTATTCTTCCATAAATTTGGAATGCGCTTGAGAGAAGAGATTATAGACAACACTGAACGACATTTGTCGATGTTATGAAGGAATTACTTTCTACACATGAATTCGATAATGATAGCTTTCCATTAGTTTGGTGCTTAGTATTCGTACAGATGCACTAAAAACTCAAGTCAGTACGTTTATGAGGACCAGCGACATACTCTTATAATGTTAGTAAGGTCAAACCTCTGCAATAGGTGCTGTACAGTAAGCATCCACGTGATACCATGCTGGACTTCATTGGGGCGATATCTTCATGCTCTCTGCTTTAATATAAAGGCAGTAAGACGTGGATAGCAATGGAATCGAAGGAACGTCGTGGATTTTTCACTAGTTTTTTTCCTACGAGTTTCTCATCGTTTTTTCTAACCAGTAAGCGGATCCTCTCAGTTTGTTCTCTTAAACTTGTAATTGGCTAAATCTTGGCAGACACTGATGATGTTCTTAGTAAATTGTGTAGCTTTACCCACTGTTGATGCCCTCCTACCCTTACCACTTTCGCAATCAAGCCTAATTTCGCTTGGCTTGGACATTTAATTTTTTCTCGACACTAACTCTGACACCCTAGAAGGTAATATCGGCCTCAGTGACACCTAAAAAATGACTCTAATAGAGGTTATGGCGTCCCGTAATTGTTTGAATCCGCTTTTTTCTCTTTTCAATGGAACTTTGTAAAAAAATGCGAATGCAAGTTGGTTGTTGCTTGTATCTCTTGCGTGGATATTCCACTTCAGCAGTGATAAATAGAAACTTCGTTTATGCCTGCTCGAGTCAACAAGACTACAGGACGTGCAAGTGATGTAAATGGATCCTATAAACTTGTAACGCATTGGTAAAGGTTCATCGTCTGTAGTGGCTTAACTAGTTAACTAGTAAATGTGATTTTTAAATGCATAGCACGTTTGTTCCACCTTCCACTCATAGTCGTCCATAACCTGATATCCATAATCTCTATATGTACGAAAAATCACACGAAATTATCAACAATCAAACAACTTCTTACTTTCAACGGCTGCTTCAAAAGCTTGAAGTAGATTTAGATAACCTAAACATAGTTTCAGGACGCTATATCGTTTATTCACAACAGCTGATGTTTCGGTGTGCTTCGCGTTCTTCAAGGCAGTTATGTTAACTGCAACCTAGTCAGATAAACACCTCTACTCAGGAAAAAAATCACGATACCTAACTCTGAATCGAATTGGAAAAATAACTTCCTCATAGAGTCGCCACTCACTATGCGCCTTTCATTGACAATTCCACGTGAACAACTACAGTACAGACCTCATACGGATGGGTAATGAGTCACTATCGCGTTGAAGTATCATTCCGAGATATTGTGTGAGCTCTAGAGAGATAATGAGACACTCCTCACTGCGGTTCACTTTTGGATCCTTGGAATTAGTCCAGAATGCTTCCTGGGTTTTACGCACTGAAGTTTTAGATTCTCGTACGAGTAAGGTGAGTTTTACTTCAAAATATTCACCGTTATATGGCTGTGTCTTACGCGATCCTAGTAGAGTATTTTGTCCAACGTTACGCCTGTTGTCCAAATAGACACATACTGTTCTACCCTATTCGCTAATATATTCGTTTCAGAACGTTTTACAGGAGATTGGGTACACCGTACCCGAACTATGGAATCACCGTCTCTACCATTAACGCATATTATGCAATTTAGCGTTGCGTGCAAAAATGTATGGGCGTAATTCAATCAGTGCTACTGATTTCTCTAGACCAGCCTTTTTAAAGCAACCTTTTATAGCTGTGTTTATTCGGTTGGAAATGAATGGCAGGATAAACGAAACCTTATTCTCGCTAGAAACATCACTTGGCGGTTTGGTTCTGCCTCTAAACCTACTCCGAGAAAGAGCAGACGGAAGAATCCATGAAACTGGTGCAGCACACAACGATTTATAGTGGGTCCAGCTCCTCGGGATATCTGTAGACGAGTAACCCCAAATGGCAAATCCAGCGAAAATAGGGTCCCATTTATTCAATCCTTCATTTCCACGAAGTAAGTACAACTGTAAACCGTTACATAAAATCCACCGAACACTAAGATGCCAATTAGTTCGTAGCCACCTGTATTACCGACTATGCACAAAGCAAAAATTGCATATTTTGCCCCAACGGTAAAGACGGTGATTCCATGAATTCGAGTACGGTTTATACGATTTCTTTTAAAGCATGCGGGGACAAATACATGGGCGAAACGGGAAGACCAGCCTGCGTCCGTATGAAAGAGTATCTGCTAAGCCGAGTACTCCACTAGACGCGCACAGGACACAGATACATAACAGAGAAGACTTCAGAGTAGAAGTTCCCATACTCCCACATGAATCTAAAAGTTCAGCCCGTAAAAGCATTCTGGATAAATTCAAAGAATCCGAAAATGGACCGCAGGGAGGAATGCCTCATAATGACGAGTGATCTCAAACAGTATTTAATGCCTAAATTTAAATGTGAGACAGGCAAATTACGTTTCCATGCGAAAACTATTTGGTTCGTCTTCACGTGAAATACTCAGTGGATGACTCACAAAGTTGGCTGTTTGCGCGAAGTTGTTTTGTTTTCAGCAATATATCCCGGACTTATGAAAGCTCATAAGTTAATATCACTGATGATCTGGAATCTACCAACCGATCAACCTTCAAGGTTAAACCCATTATCAGCTGTATAGACGGGTCCAGCGATAAAATAGCTTGGCTTATAAACCTAATTCTCTTCCAACTCTTAAAGAACATACCATAATCGAAATAGGTGTGGAGGAAAACCCAAACCCCTGAACGATAATTACAGCGAGAATAAGGCTTCGTTCATCTTGTCCTTTATTTCCAAAGAAATAATTGCACCTATAAAACTTTGCTTAGGAAGGGCCAGTCTAGCGAATTCAGTAAGAGTGATAGAAATGGCACCGGGTACTCTTAAACGCCACCTAGTTCGTAACCGCTCATATGACTGTATGTGCATAATTTGCTGAGAGTAGAGATGGTGATTGTATGGGTTCGGCTACAGTCTATCTGATCTCTTGTAAAGCGTGCGGGGACGAATACGTTGGCGAAACGGATAGAGCGCTTTGCGTCCGCTTACAAGAACACCTAGTCGGTAAGTCTAAATTGAGCCAAACACTCCGCTAGGCCCGCATAGGATACAGAAACATAACGGAAAATATTTTGAAGTAGAAGTCATTATCCTCGCACAGGAATCCAAGACATCAGCGCGCAAAACTCTTGGCGCGTTTCGGGTTAATTCCAAAAATCCGAAAATGAACTGCAAGGAGGAGTCTCTTATCATCAGCGTGACTTCGCGCCATGCCTCGGCTGATTCTATGACCTGGCGCAATTTTCGCCCATGTACTACTCCGTGCGGCTGCTCTCCACAACATAACAAGGATATTTACAACGAATAAAACGCTGGTTATTCCGTCTGCTCTTCCCTTTCAGCATTTTCACAATATCTTCTCAAAGATCCGTCTATTTCAGAGAAATCCACGTCAATTCCTTTCATTTGAAGAAGAAACTAAAGTCGTTCTGAGGAAGTTGAAGGACAGATTGGTCCAAGTAGGCATCCTCAGATCCACTGTTCTCCACTTGCAGTGCCCCGCCCTCTTCGACTTGGGACACCCTCACGATGACATTGGCGGTGTGCCAACGACCGCGACGCGACACGCACCTGATGCGGAGCGACTTTGTCCCGCTCGGGAGTACTTGAGTCTCCTTACATCAGTGACTCCATTTGTGCATTTTTCGAACACGGACTGTGTTCGAAGGTAAGTATGCATTTCAGTAAAGTTGCTAGGAGTCGAATAGCACACTATTGCTCCATAGTATCTCCTTTCTTGTTTTCGTGGTTACGTTATCGATCGAAATAGTTCTTGAATCAGGGCAGTTCTTCCTACTAGTTGTAGTGGTTTCATAAGGTTATCTCTACCATGAAGTAAATATGCCTAGTTTAGTTCGGTAATTGTACAATCTCAGGTTATGCGAGAGTTAAATGTGGCTGCTTCACTTGTCTAACTGTAAGGCTGTCGGATATAAATGAGTTGGATGGTTCATTTCCAGACGTTCTTTCATCTCATGAAATATTTTGGCGTTGCTGGGAACGGTGGACGTTAATTGTACTGCCTTTGCTTTTGTTTCTTTTGTTGTAAACTTTCCGTGCTATACTTTTATATTAAATTGGTAAGCTACCTACTTAAGGGGCGCGTGTAGCCCAGTGGTCGTTGGCCCTCTACAATACTCATGGGATCGATCTCCGTACCCCAGATCCACCAAGCTCTCCATCGCTCACTGGTCGGCAGACTGGTACCAGAGTTGTATGGAAGGATAGCAGCGCTGGTTTGATACATCGGTGGAGAACTGCGAGACATTGTAAAGGCCAGATATGCATTCAATCACCTCTAAACGTTACTTAATGAAGTCGAATACTTGGCGCATTCCTAGGGAATTGATCGAAGCGGAGAGCTTTATCCTTTTATTTATCCTTTATCCACCAAAGATATTCTACGAAGTGTTGGTGAAGAGAATCCATTTTTGTAAACTTTGTTTTTCCAAAAAACTGTTCGAAATGCTATTCTTGCTTTGGCCACAGTGGAGATAGCTGGGTCAGGAGATTTCATTTCACATAGAACGATGAGTATTGAAATGAATGCAAACGGAACGCGCTGAAAAACTATTTCTGATCGCCAACGTGGTAAGTTTGGTGGCTCGAAACTCGAAAATGCTCTTTTCTTTAAGCTGAGCTAATGGCTTGGAAAGGGTGAGGTGTCCTTCTTGAAGGACCTTTTTCTGGGAGATCTAAACTTCGTAGTGAAGCTGTTGTGTGTCTAAAACATTACCGTTTTTCAGTTACTGAAGCGGTAGACGGCGTCGTTTTCAAATCGATTTCGATGATCTAGGGAAGTTTATTCCTTGACATGTCGAATCCGCCACTGGATATTTCGGCCATTCTGGATGATTTTTCTAAAAAGTACCCGATTTTCTTGGTCCCTGTCACTTTATTCTCTGCTTTGCTTAATGTTGTAGCATTTCTGTTTTCTATAGCAACATTTCCGATGAGAGTTACTTATGCTATTGTTAAAAACTTTCCAATTCTTACCCTTTTCGCACTTGGTTTTGTTCTTGTTACAACTTTAATAGTTCGGAGAATCTCTCGGATATCAGTAGTCGATTATTTTCTCCATGTATTCGTACCGTACTGTATCTCGTTACTATACACGATTTTCGGTATATTCTTTCCACAAGTGCGCACTATCTCTCGAGTGTTCCAAAGTGTTCTACGTCTAGTCAGGTGGTTGCTTGGGAGTGACGAGCTGATAAACCGTCGTGCTGAATCGATCCGCCAAGTTGTTGAAGTGCTGTCCCCTAGAGGTAGACGTCACCAACAAAATGGACCGATCCGACGAAGGTCGGCCTCTTCGATATTGTCGGCTGCGGAACAGGCTAACAATGACAGAGTTCAGTGTTGTATTTGTATTTATAGGGAAAAATCAGTATTGCTTAGGCCTTGTAATCATCTCTGTCTTTGTGAAATATGTCTTCAAGCCGTTTTGAATGAACCGCCTGCAAGATGTCCCATATGTAGATCGATTATTGATTCCCACATCAATGTATTTCTTTAGAGCAGTGTTCATTTGTTGTCGATGTACGAGGTCTTTTGTATATATTCACTTATTTGCCTTTTATCTCATTTGCACATTCTGTTGATTGAAAACTATTTGCTCATCATAATATGTTTTAGCAGTTTTAGAGTTTAACCCATTTGACACATTTTTAAAAATTGGGACGTGAAACGGCATATGTTTATTTCTTCCGCGTTGACTCTATGGGCAACATGGCCTTTGAAAACATGTTTGAAAGCAAAACATTATGACCTCGACTGGGGCTTCACCTTAACTGGGTTCAACGCCGATTTGTGCTCCCCAGATCATTCCCGTTGTCAGATGATTGCCGATAACACGGTTAGAGTAGAAAACTGGCTGCAAGAAATTCAAAGTAAGAGCCTCAGTGAATCTCCACTTGGCATACTCAGTGGAAGACTCACAGAAAGCAGCGAGTGTTGCGAAGAAGCTATTCTGTGTTCAGTGTGAGTGAAATCTTGGCGTAGCATTTTCTCTGTTTAGTTATGGAGGTGTTTGGCCGGGTAGATTGCTGTCAACCTAACCTTTCCAGACTCTGACGAAGACGAAATCCGTCAAAACGTCAGCTTATGCGTAAATAAAGTCGCCTCTATCATACCGAATTTCTTTTTCTTGTGTCTTTTTTTCGTACGGTTTTTGTCCTTTCCTTGTGTTCATATTGAACGAATGAATGGTGAAAGAAATTGGGCGTATGTTACCCATATAAAATGTTACAGTTCCCTATAGTTTGACGAATTCGGAGCAGATTTTATGAACTCCTCATTTAGCTCATACTTCTGGAACCACCTTGTATTGGCGAAAATTATAGTAACTGCCACGACCGACTTTCTATTAACCTCGGCATTGATCAAGTGATTTTCTTCGTATTTTTGTTGAGCAAACGCGAGGTGTTACTATTCTTTGTTCACGATTCCAGCAAGATACTTCCGACTTGTAAAAGAAGCGCTGTCACTGAGACAAAAGATCGTCTTAGCTCGACAGTTAATATACTTTCTCCGCCGCTGTCTAAAACATCAAGTCATTCCGAACTTCATCAAACGAAGACGACTACACGACGTATGCGGTATGCCAGAGGACAGTCACCAAGTATTGGACGTCGAATTGCGAATACTACGCACTTGTCTACGAAGCCGACAAAATCAGATGTTCGCCAAGTGGAAGAAGTGCGAGACGAAGGAAAACTTTTGTGCTCAATATTTGGAGGACCACCTCTGGAGTAGAATAGTGGGCGGGTCAGTGTTGATTTGCAACTCTGTTAGGTCTGATGCTAAAGTAGCTTTGCGAAGAAAATTCGAAGACCTTTTGAGTAAATCACATAACACAGCTTCAATAGCGCACAAAAATATCGCTAAAGAACATCAAACAGATCACATTAGGATAGGCAATGTGCAAGAAAATTCAAGGCTAACCGTGTCAGGAGGCATAACTCTCCCTGACGGTGCGCGCTCGTTATTAGAATTGGGGCCAAGTTTCTCACCATCTGAACCCATTTCTAAGATAACCTTGCGTAGGGTCGCATGTGGTTTACATGAACTTCAAGATAGACTCCGCAAAAAAGCGAGAGATGAAACGCTAAATAGGTGCGAACAACATCAAGTGGGGGCTCTACCAATAGCACCATTTCCCCCGACGTTCTTTAGACAACTAGAGCCCAATAATGAAGTTGATGTTAAATTTCGGATGTTTGCGAATGAAACTCTCAAAGTCCTTAATCACTATCGCGCGAAAAGATACAGCTCAAACCTCACTCCAGTGCAAAAACGTGGTATGCGAGAGATACGAGACCTGATAAGGTTGAAAACCATAAGACTATCCGTTAGTGATAAGGGTGGAGAGTTTGTCGTAATTCCTCATCAGTTAGATGTGGTGATAAGGAAAAAGCATCTTGAAGATGCTTCGCTTTATCGCTCATCATCTGAGGAGGAATTCAAA